CTAAACCCTAAACCCTAAACCCTAAACCCTCAACCCTCAACCCTCAACCCTCAACCCTCAACCCTCAACCCTAAACCCTAAACCCTAAACCCTCAACCCTAAACCCTCAACCCTCAACCCTCAACCCTCAACCCTCAACCCTCAACCCTCAACCCTCAACCCTCAACCCTCAACCCTCAACCCTCAACCCTCAACCCTCAACCCTCAACCCTCAACCCTCAACCCTCAACCCTCAACCCTCAACCCTCAACCCTCAACCCTCAACCCTCAACCCTCAACCCTCAACCCTCAACCCTCAACCCTCAACCCTCAACCCTCAACCCTCAACCCTCAACCCTCAACCCTCAACCCTCAACCCTCAACCCTCAACCCCAAACCCCAAACCCTCAACCCTCAACCCTCAACCCTCAACCCTCAACCCTCAACCCTCAACCCTCAACCCTCAACCCTCAACCCTCAACCCTCAACCCTCAACCCCAAACCCCAAACCCTCAACCCTCAACCCTCAACCCTCAACCCCAAACCCCAAACCCCAAACCCCAAACCCTAAACCCCTAAACCCCTAAACCCCAAACCCCTAAACCCCTAAACCCTAAACCCCTAAACCCCTAAACCCCAAACCCCTAAACCCCTAAACCCCTAAACCCCTAAACCCCAAACCCCAAACCCCAAACCCCAAACCCCAAACCCCAAACCCCAAACCCCAAACCCCAAACCCTAAACCCCAAACCCCAAACCCCAAACCCCAAACCCCAAACCCCAAACCCCAAACCCTAAACCCCAAACCCCAAACCCCAAACCCCAAACCCCAAACCCCAAACCCCAAACCCCAAACCCTAAACCCCAAACCCCAAACCCCAAACCCCAAACCCCAAACCCCAAACCCCAAACCCCAAACCCTACACCCTACACCCCTAAACCCTAAACCCCAAACCCCTAACCCCAAACCCTAAACCCTAACCCCTAACCCTAAACCCCAAACCCCAAACCCCAACCCCTAAACCCTCACCCCCTAACCCTTAAACCCCAAACCCCAACTGCTAAACCCCTCACCCCTCGACCCTCAACCCTACCCTTAATTAGATTAGTTTACTTTTTACTCAATTTATAAAATTTTTAATAAATCGGTTTATTTGGAATCATATTAACTTATATTTCTAAATTTTTATGTTAATCAAAAAATATGTGATAAAACTTAATTTTAAAATTTAAATTCAATGCACTATATATATATATATATATATATATATATAATGACAATAATAATAACTATTAAATTAAAAAAATATTTATAAATTATTTATTTTGTTTGTTTTATTACTTTTCTTTTTTAAATTAACAAACATAAGTAAAATCAATTATATTATTACATTAATATAATATAAAAAATATTATTGATATAATACATTTTCCTCAAACTAAGGCCTCACAGGCAGTATAGCATTGGTCAGAGGATCAATCTTAATTGATGGGAAATGTAAGATATTTCACTGTAGCGAGACAAATCTCGTTGTAGCGAAAATGAGGCGATGAAACTAAAACCCTAAACCCTAAGTCTTAAGCCGTAAAACCATAAACCCTAAATCCTAAACCTCTAACCCCTAGCCCTGAAACCCCTCAACCCTAAACCCTAAAAGCCCTCCACCCTAAGTTCAAAGCCCTAACCCCTAGAACCTAGACCCTAGACCCTAAAACTCCAAACCCAAAACCCTGAATCCCAAACTCTAAAACATACCCTTGAACCCTAAACCCCAAACTTAAGGGTGTACTAGTTAGGGGACGAGGTTTAATGGTTTAGGGTTTATGCGATGAGTGTTTAATGTTTAGAATTTTACGATCTAACGGTTCAGTAGGTTAAAGGTTAAATAATATAAGATTTTAGTGTTCAAGCGTTAATAATTGCATCAATTACTCTATAATATTGAACCCTAATCCCTAAATCTTATGCCCTACACCCTAAACCTAGCCTTAAACCCTTAACGCTAAACTTAAAACCCTAAACCTAATGTCCCTAGACCTAAATTTTGAGCCTCTAGCCACAAGCCACAAGCCCTAAACGATTAAAAGTATTGAAAACTAGAATGGTCAACTTATGCCTCCAATAACAATACACATATAATAACTAAGACTTCAAGGGTTTTATGTGAAGCAGTTTTGAAGATAAGGTTCAGGGGTTTAGGATTTGTGCGAATAGGGTTTAATGTTTAGAGTTTTAGGATCCAACTGTTCAATAGTATAAAGGTTAAAGGTTTGTAGATGTTTGAGTTCAAAAGTTAATAATTGTATCAATTACTCTGGCATGTTGAACCTTTACTCTAAACCCTAAACCCAACACAAAATCATGAACTCCAAACTCCAAGTCCTAAACCCTAATCCTGAAACTTGAATCGTAACCTCTAAACCTAAACCTGAACCCCAAAACCTAAAACTCCAAACCCTAATTGTTCGAAGGGCAAGTGTACCCGTCAAAAAGTAATAAAGGGTTTTCAACTAAGTTCCCGAAATATCGTCCCACAAGGATTGTTTATCAACTACTAAAAGTTTTCCTAATTTAATTGTTTGAGTTTCAAATATGCGAGATTAATTAAGACGAGAATTTATAAAATCAATTATAAACACTAAGAGCAAGAAACACAAAGGACATTTTGATTAAACTTTATCGGAGAGGAACCTAGGGCGTATAGGTGTTCTCATTCAATCCTTTATGATATTCTTTTATTTAGGTCTAAATCTGATTTCCTAGTGATTACTAATCATTTATACTGATACTATTAATACCCAATGGTCATGCAGTATTAATATTCTTTTCTCTAAGTTAATATCCCCAATGGTCATGCAGGTTATTAATTTAGAAAAAGCCTAAGGAGCCTATGAATTTGTTGATTCAATAACGATTAGAAGATGAAGATTGGTTTGGTCTACCTAATCTTTTCTCTCGTTTTATCCTATAGATCTATTAATTACCCGAGGTACGATCGCCTGACGATATAATTAATTGGGGTTAAGAATGAGAAACGATAAGATAAATCCTAATCATGAAGTGAAAATCATATTTAGATTCAAATATCAAAATCCCATAAAGTCATAAACGATAATTCTCATAGCCCTAGCTATGAATTTAGCTACTCATGTAGAAAGAAAGAATTAAAATAATCAATAACATATCCATAATGAAGCAGTAAAGCAAACTAGAATAGGAAATGAATCTTCGGTCTTCAAGTATGGTCACTTGAAACTCTAAGTTCCTCCAATGGTGTGCCAACGATCCTCCAAGAAGAGTGGAAATGATCCGAAATTTTGAAGAAAAGGTTCTGTGTAAATCTGTGCTCAGCAAAAGTTCCCCTTCACGATGCTTTCTTCCCTCTATTTATATAATTTTGAACTCCTTTGAACTTGGTAAATTTGACTAATGCAAACAAGCACGGTCGTGCATGATGATGCAACACGGTCGTGCATATCATCGAAGCACCTCCGTACTTCACTGGGCGTGCTTGTTGCTGTGAGGCTTTGAATCCTATTCATTTGGGCTCAAAATGTACCTAAAATCTTCTCGTAGTCTCTTTATATCAAACTGCGCAATTAACAACTAAATTAGTGTAAAAGCCAATTTAATTAAATGTCAAATAGGAATAATTGGGTTATAACAGAGGGCCTAATTATAAACTTATCATTAATTCTAAAATCCCAAACCCTAAACTCTGTCCCCTAAAACCTAAACATTTTATAAGCTTTTTAGATTGACGATTGTAATTCTTCAAATTTTTTAGAGATTAATAAGTATTTTTATTTTTTTTTATCAAATTAATCACTAACATTACTGTCTTTTAATATAAAATTAACGGTAATAATTGTTCCACGTGTGAGAGGTATAAAATATCCTCTTAGTTTACAAAGTACTGTATAAATTACCAAATATATATATATATATATATATCCTTGTTACTTTTAAAGAAAGACTTGATTGCTTGAAACTAATTTTAAAATAATAAAAATCAGTTTTTTTAAAAAAATAAATTCAAGTAAATGCAAGTTTAGGTTTTAAAAAAATAATATACAAATTCCTTATTTTTTAAAATTAAAATTATATATCATAGAAAGCATAAGTTAAAGGATTTTGTATTATCATAAACTTCTAGTTGATGCGGAATTTTATGAGTTAATTATTTCGCCCATAAAATATTAGTTGAGACCAAGTATTTTGCCAGTCTATTTAAATATAGGATTGAAGGTAAGATTTATCTAATAAGTTAAATAAGTCAGTCTTTGTGTATTAGAGATAACTAATAGTTATACTCAATTTATACTTGTTGGTAAAGATAAAACTCAACTTCGAGTGAACACTTACTAAACAAGGAAAAAAAATATTTAACATAAATTATTATTCTGTAACTAGTTTACTTAAATTTAATCCTTTAATAACGAAAAGTGTTATCAAATTTGTATCTTTAGATTCAGTAAATTAATTGATATAAATATATTTTGCCTGATAGATTAAACTACTATTAAGTTCTTAGATGATTAAATTAATGTCATTTAAACATTTATATATTAAAATAGAAATTTTAATCATATGTGGGGCAGATATAGTGTCACTATATTTCAAAGGGAATATGCAAGTGAGAAAAACATGTGGACTTAAGAGCGCAATAGTCAAACGGTGACTCTCTTAAGAGTGGCCAAATCCTACATAAGCATTATTTTTTCATTTAAAAGTAAGCAGTCAAAATGAAAATTTTATTGTAGCCTCTTATTCCAAAGCTTGCTACATAACTTGAAGGTTGTTCTCAAAGATCATTACTTAATAAATTTGAAAGTCCAAACAATCATATAACTGGAGGCATCACACAAGCCCCACCAAAGGGTTAAACCTTTCACGGGGAGCTTTCATATCATAAATTATACACAATGATTCGTATGGTTTCGAAGTTTTGGGCTGGTTTTAACGCAATGGATGAAAATGTCTCTACCACTCGTTTATAAATTTGTGTACCTACTACGTATGATCTTATCCTGTGGATGCTCAACGAACAATTTAATTATATAGATCTATACTTGAAGAACGGAGGAAGAGTCTGCAGAGCCAAAAAGAAAAGAAAAAAGCTAATAATATTTAAGACCATAATATTTAACAATCCTAACATCACTCAGAACAAAGCCTCAAAAGTAATTAAAAATTGATCTGATCAGATTTGTCACTTTTCCAGAAATCAAACCTACTAATTAACAAGGTAACATTTTCTTCAATAAAAGTGAACATCGAATCACATTCCAGTAAATGCTTTCTTTGCACCACTAGAAGATCCAGCTGGAATCACTTTCAACACGTTGAACCTCACTGTCTTTGAGAGTGGCCTACAGAAGAGGAATAAATAAGAATCAGACAGATATCAGTATCTATATACAATATAGATAAAAGAAAAAATAACTGCAGGTTAACAAAAGAAAAAATAACTGCAGGTTAACAGCAGAAAAAATATCTCGTTAACAGTCTAACCTGCATTGACCAATAATGACATGATCTCCTTCCTTCACACGGAAGCAAGGTGATATATGAGCAGCAATATTTGAGTGCCTCTTCTCATATCTAAACAAAACAAGCCAAGACAGAGGAATCAAAATCATAAAACTCCAAGCATACAACTACACACTTACCAAAAAAAAACTGGACATCAAAGTATGACAGGATAGTACCTCTGATACTTTTTTATAAAATGAAGATAATTTCGCCTAACAATAATAGTCCTTGTCATCTTTGCACTGTGACATGTTCCAGCTAAGATGCGACCCCGGATGGAAACAGTGCCAGTAAAGGGGCATTTCTTGTCAATATAGGTTCCTACGTCGGAAAAAGAATTAAATCAAAGACCTTGGTAAGTAAACATGACCATAAATGAGTACAGAGGGAAACAACTAAGTCTAATTCATATTTAATGATATGAGTATATAAAGATAATAACATGACATGAGTAATGTCGAGAAGAGTTTTAACAATCAGCCTCCACTCATTTCCCAATAATGCTTGATTGACACACCACTAGATTATCCTTTTTTTAAATAAAAAAACTGAGTACATGAATATACAAAATTACTGCCCAATCCTTAATTCCTATAAATAAAAAGTTATAGCTTCATGCTTTTTCAAGAAGCATTTCAATAAAACAACATGAAGTCCAACTTATCAGATAGCCACTATCTTAAGTAGAGACAACTTCATGTTTTAGGAAATGTATATCAAACCTAGCTGATTCAGCTCTCTGTAGAGTAATTATAACGTGTACCATAAAAATTCACAAAGCTCCCCAAACACACTACAATTGGATCAGCATGAAAACACAAACTTTCACGATAATGTCCACAGCAATAACCAGATAGATACACCTTGCACATAATAGATATTTTACAAGTGAAAGAGATGAGAGAGGAATATATATATATATATATATATATATATATATATATATATATATATAAACCTTCAATGGCTTCTCTGGGCGTCTTGAATCCTAGACCAATGGACTTCCAGAAGCGGTTCCCGCCTTTTCCAGGTCTCTTTCCCTTCCCAGATTTCTTCGAGCTATGAAAGCCAACAAAACAACAAAAGCCGTTCAGCATCAATGCCACAGTGAAAAATTTTAAAGAAACTAAGCATTGTTTGGAGCATTTGGTAAACCTTAGAAACACTTTTGGTTGCTTCAGAAAAGCCTTCTCGGTCTGCAATACAAAAATTAGGAAAACAAAAAACTCAGGGAAAGATCGAAACGAGGCCTAAGCACTATTGATAAAACGAAACGGTGAAAAGCGAGATATGGAAGGATACATACCTGTTCAGCCATGGTGAAGGGAGTTCTCACCTAAACGTTGCAAAGGAAAGTGTTTGAGTAGTAGCACACAAAACCCTAATCGCTGAGTATTGTCTTTATTTGAAGTCTGGACTCTAATAAATGGGTTACATGTCTTAGCCCAAAAATCAATAAGCCTGTGATGCTTCAGGATTGTCCCACTGTACTAATATTTGGACAGTTTTTCCAATGCAGTCCAACTTCACATGTTCAGACAAAAAATGGTTTTTTATTAAAGTGTACAATATTTAATATTATTATTATATTAAATTATATAATTATTTTTATTCTTAAAAAATTAAAAAACTACTATGTATAAATTTTTATTGTCTATTTTTAAACATATATTAAAAAATTGATATGTAAAAAGTCAAAATCATTAGAAAAAAAGTAAAAATCTGAATTTTTCTAAAAACTAGTCATACATAAATATTAAAATCATTTTATAAATGAGTTAAAATTAGTTTGAATGATGTTATAAGTTTTATACATATAAGAGAATCTTTAAGATTTTCTTTGATATTTTAAAAGTCTATAGATCATTGCATGATAAATTAAATTAAATATAATAAAAATACATCTTAAATTATAATTTTAATATTTAATGAAAAATATATTATTATTAAAATATGACAAATAAAGACTAACATGAGTTAATAAAGTAAGTGACTCATAAGTGAATAATATTTTTAAACCATTAAATGTATCTTAAAATCTATAAAACAATTCAAATTTTGTACCAATAATTTAATAATACAAGTTTATACATATTTATCATTTAGTTATTCATAAAAAAATTTAAAATTAATCTTTAGACTTTTGAAATCTTTTATTTTGTAGCTTTAAAACCTATTACTATCTTTTATCTTTAAAATTCTGTATGTTATATTTTCTCTTCTTCACCTTTATATATTCTAGATTTTCTAACCTTATTTTAAGAAAATTTGCATTCGAATGGAGTTTCAATACATAATAAACAATAACTTTTGAATCAATAAAATATTAAATATTATGTTAAATCTTTAAAGTTCTCTACAAACCTTATTTATGAAATTAATGATTTTTAGAAATAAAACTTTTACATCCACTCTTATAGAATCAATTCATCATGAAATAAAATTTTGTATTGATATATTATTTAATGCCTTTTTAAACTTTTTGCACATTCTCCCTATGTAATAGTTATTTTTGCATTGCACAAATTCTACAATATTCGCTTAAGTCAAGTCGTTTGTGCATCGCACAAATTTAATTAAGCAATTTTAAATAAAAAATAAGGCTACATTGGCACTACCCAATTGATTCATATAAATTAAAAGAGTCAACATAACAAAACAAACTATTCTATAACTCAAACCAAAATCCAATATCCAAAGTCATGGCTTAACAGGATCTGTAACTGGCCAAAACTAAGGACTACTTAGTAGCTTATTAAAATTGTTGCTTAAACCTGTCTGAAAAAATAAACTCAGAACTTCTTGTTCTCACTAAACTTCACATGTCCAGACCTTAAATATGTAAGTATTTTGCATGCGATGGATATATAAATTGCTATTCTTTAACTATTTATCATGAAGGGAATCATGTTCAATATGTCATCATTAACAAGTTCTTTGTCAACAATCTACTCCTCAGGCTTGTTAGTTATACCACATGCTGCCTGCAACAAAACATCATTAGAACATTTTGTAAATATCATCTAACATAGTTCAGACTTCAACTATACATTTTATTTTTTTTTGGGTTTTTTCTATTTAATTTTGATTGAAATCTACCTTGCTTCTACCTTTAAGCACAGAAGTAAAAATGTGTGAATTCATCAGGCTTTGGCTCTGGTTTCACATTGACTTTCTTTTAGCCTGGTTTGGGAGGTGGTGCCTTTTTAACCACTCCATCAGCAACAGTAGGAGGCACAGCTACATTAGCACAAGCCTGTTTATGCTATTTCAAGACAAAAAGGTCCATCCAAGAAAACAATCAGAACATGCTAATGAAACAATCAAACAAAGGAAGAAGAAACAAGTAATATAGGGAGTAATTTATCTTGTTATTTTCAGCGGATGCAGCTGCTTGTGCATTTGTAAGTAGTTGAGTAGAGAGATGATAATTCTAATTGCCCATAGGTGATAATTCTCACCCTCAAAAACTGGTGGTGTTATGACTGAATTATCAGAATGCAGTTTCAATTCTCAATGTAAGTGTTTAGGTGTTTGGTGAAACTCTCAACTTGGTAAGGTCCCTTGAAAACAAATAAAACTTTGATACCAAATATTAGAAGTAAGAGAAATTTAAAAGATTATGAACTTAAAATTTGAAACTAAAATTTTCATTCATACTATGATATAAAGGATGAATTATATTTATCTCAACATAATTCATCCTTTATATCACAACAGTGAACAACCCTTTGAAATTCTGCCAACAGCTTTTGGTAGGACTGAACTTCTGATGGCTGGATCTGTCTGATTGTCAACTTTAAATGCATCATCGTTATAACAGAAGCATCAAGGCTCTCTTGATAACATAACATCAGAAACAATTTTTACAAATTATTACACTTTCTGACAAGTGACAACAAATCTATTAGAAATCATGTTGATTGACAAACCTCAATTGCTGCAACAGCTGCCTCTCAGCATATCAATGATATGTCAACTCCGGTACAACTAGCTGTCAGTTGAGCTAGTTCTTTAATGCTAACATCAGGATCACATGGGATTTTACGCAAATGAATGCGAAATATCTCTTCTCTGTCCACCTTTTGTCAGCAATTGAAATTTAAATTCTTTGTACAAGTCATTCACCTTTGTTTATCTGCATGTGCAATATGAGTAAGAGACATAGAGAATAACAGAACATACAGAATACCTGGCCTCAAAAGGGCAGGGTCAATCTTGTCTGGCCTATTTGTAGCAGCTATGACGGTGACGTTACCTCTTTGATGTAGACATAGCACAAATTAAGTTTTCATCAAAAGAAAAAATATGACTTTTGGCCAAAGTTCAAACATTTATTGATTTCACAAAAAACCATTTCCACTGCTCGAGATTCATCACTAACCATCCAACTCAACAAGAAGTTGACTCATGACCCTATCCGACACTGAAACACCATCACTTTCCTTCCCACAAGTTGCCGCAAGACCATCTATTTCATCAAAAAATATGATTGTCGGAGCATTGGCCCTTGCTTTCGTAAATAATGATTTGACAGCCTTCTCAGATTCGCCAACCCATTTGCTGAAGAGTTCAGGACCCTTAAATGCAAGAAAATTCAGCCCTGCTTTAGAAGCTACTGCTCGTGCCATGAGAGTTTTACTATCCTGAAGGCCCAAATATCAGTACACTTGTTGGAGGGCGAGTCCCAATACAGCTGAATGCATCATGGTGCTTCTGTGGCCATTCTACTGATTCTATTAATTGAGCTTTGACCTCCTTTTGCCCACCAACATCTTCCCAATTACCCTTTGGAACCTTAAGGACTACTTAAATAGACAAAAAATTTGAAAACCACAATATTATGCTTCACCCTCCATTTTAAAAAGAAAATTGTACTGGAAAAGGAACTGCTCAGTCCCATATGTAGAAAAAGTAAACCGAATACCTATTCGGCCTAATTTGGCTGAATACCTAGTTATCAGGATTACAAGGTAATTGACCCAATTAAGAATAATAATCAGAGTATTATCGATGTTAACTAAAAGGCCAAAATCAAGGCTGACTCAGCAGGCCCATTAGCCCATAATAATGCCTATAAAAGGAAGGTATGAAGTACAGGTAAAGGGGAACTTTCATTATTAAATAGCATTTATTGCTCAGAACTGAATCCTGACTTCAGCATCGGAGTGCCCTTTGCAGGTACCCTCCCACGTCAGCAACGGTAAGAGAGACGTCATCGCTACAGATCAGAGACTTGAAGATTAGTGTTTCCTAAGCAGAAACATTTTGGCGCCCACCGTGGGGCACGATTAGCCTCGTTTTTAAGATTAATCATGGTACTAACGAGAAGCCAGCAGGAAGGATATGCTCAACAAGGAGGAACCTCTCGACAACAGCTGAAGGGTGTCACACCAAATGAACCAACACCTAAAGTTGTGATGCAAGGAGGAACTGACGAGAGCCTCTTAGCTGTACTAAGAGAGCTCAAAGCAGAAATGACGGAGATGAAGAGGGAGAGAGAAAAGGATGCACTAGAGCTCTCGGCTCTAAGAAGGAAAAATGCTAACTTGAGAGAAGAAATAAGAACACACATCCCTTCCCAAACTACACCCTTTGTCTAGGATCAGGGGAAATCATCAGCGTTGCAGGAGAAATCAAAGCAGGTTTTTCAATCTGTAGCCAAAAATGACTAAGACGATCTTGTGAACGGAGCCCATTCGTTCACCACATCTTGGAAGCTAAGCTACCCGACAACTGGAGAGGCTTAAAAATAAAAAAAATATGATGGTACATCTGATCCTAGGGAACACTTGGACGTCTTCACAACCCAGGTCGGTCTGTACACCGAGAACGATTGTTTATGGTGTAGGATTTTTCCCACCTCACTTCGAGGACTAGCCCTCAGTTGGTTCACCTGACTTCCCTCTTCATCCATCGACTCTTTTGCAACCCTCACAAGACAGTTCAGCTTGCAGTTCGCCACAAGCCAACCTCATCCCTTAACATCCTTGGCGCTGGTCAATATTAGGCAAGAAAAGGGAGAATCACTTAGAGCATTCATGGAGCGCTTTGACAAAGTGAGCCTTTCGATTCATAACTTGGAACCAGCAGTGGCTATGCACCACCTCACAACGGCCCTTAAGTCAGGACCTTTTGTTAACAGCATCTGCAAGAAACCACCTGCTGACCTTTTGTTAGCTCTCCTTGGCCCTTTGCTATTTGGGGTATGGATCTCCTTGACCCTTTTTCCTTAGTAAAAGGGCAGTGTAAATTCCTCATTGTCGTCGTGGATTACTTCACTAAGTGGATTGAAGCCGAGCCCCTTACTACCATCACAGCTAATAAT